AGGCAGTTACACAGTGCTTACAACTGTCTCTGGAAGTAAAAGCACCAGAGAATAAATTAATTCATACGCAGCTAANTCCCTCCTCGGGGCGTTTGTGATGGCATATGACCGCTCAGGCGCGGATGACATCATCGCGGTTGTCGAAAAACTGCATGTGCCGCATGCAAGTAGAAGTGGAGTAAACGCGATCATCACCGATCTCGACCCGAAGGTAAATAAATCGATCTGTACGCTAAGGACGTTACTTGCTTGGTTGGTCCTTCGTATGGATACTTATTTTGTGATATTCTGCAACACGTGTGTAGTCTATGGATCCATCGAAATTTGTTTTGTTGAAGCAGGTACTCGTTCCAGATACCGCCGGCGCTGCTGTTGTTGGTGTACAGTGCCTTGACGGATCATTAGTCGGCAGCTATGACAAACGTAAAGTGACCTCAAACATGTGCCACTTGAAACGAAAGAAGCCAGGAATACGCAAACCGATCTGTCTTCATGAATCCACCCGAAAACCCGAGCTGTAAGTCGAAATGCCATCGAGGGCCCTTACTTGTGTACCGAGCGCTACAAGGGTAGCACAAGCTCTCGGTCATGTCTACATCAAAATGTCTCCACCCTTTGAGTACGCCCTAGTCACGGAAGTTCCCCCCTCCCACAATATTCCCGGTACGATGTACAGCACCTTTGAGAGGGACTGCGAAGAAATGAAGTATCGCCAACGACAGAAGAACCTAATGAAACGAAGTACTAGAAGTGAAGCTTTCAGTTCAAGCCACGCACAGAAGCCCAAGGCTTCGTGTATACAATTGTGTATGCCTTTACCAAATACCCTCAAACAACTATACCAACGCCCGCAGGGCGTTTCCGCCCTCATGGTGTTCTTGTCTGTTTCTCTTCGCCGTTTGCTATTGAGAAGGTCGCGGTGTTGATTTCACACACAATACGTTTTGCGCCCCCCGGGGCGCTCGCAAAGCATTGCTCTGTGCTTCGTATTTCCGTGAGGAACAACTGCCAGTACAATCGTCGTTCTCCCTGGCCTACTGTTGCCTGAACGAACAGCCCACGAGGTACCGTTCTTCAACAGAGACGAGGATGCGACAAGGGAATGGCGGGCTGCGGTTTAACTGCGCTCAACTCTTACGTAGAGACACAGATCGGAAGCAGTCTTGGACGACCGGCCGGACAGCATACATCCTGGGTCCATCGTCACCATACTTGGGATGCTTAGATCCAGCCAATGAGTATCGTTTGCTACGTTTTGTTTCTCTCTGTGTCCGATGCGGTGTAATGGCAGATCCCGAAACTGATGGAATTTCTTCGGTTGAGATCCTTACGCCCGGGGCTTGGAAAGCTCCCGATCGTGTCGGTGATCGTTGTTGTTGACCCCGACGACCTGAGGTGAGATAGAAAGTAACACCAGGTGTGCTCCAGTATCATGGAGAATTTTTCCATCCAAAACAATGGGAAGGTCTGGAGTTTGTCGTACACAACCAAAGCTTTAGAGATCGGTGTTGAAGTGCATGTTCGCTGGTAGTTCGTGGCCGAGTCCATCTCCTCTATTGCCAACTTCTGGTACGTATGATAGTGAGTTACGTGTACAGCAGCAGCGAGTAGGGGATCAAAACCTGAAGCAGACTGATACGATGACGTTCTCACGTGAAGAATGCAAACGATAAACGGAAAAGGAATTCGAAAAATTAGGGATTAACGATATTCACTGAAGAACAATATTATCATGAACGGTGCTGAAGTGCGGTCCACACATTCATCACCCGCCAATCGTTCGTCCAACTAACGCGACGCTAGGCCGGAATTGCTGGCGAGTGCCTTTGAGAGTGGGGTCGATGCAGTTATACGACGCCCGCTGGAACGGTCCTCCTTTACGTCGTGCGTGGGGGAGGTTCTCCGAAGACATGCCAGCGTAGAGTTTGTGTACAAGGTGTGTTCTTAGGCGTACATGCTGGTGGTAATGGTGGTTTTATTGTTGTCCGTGGTTGGTGTTGATTTGTGTTGTTTCAGTGGTGATGGTGGTGGTGGTAGTGGTGACAATGGTGTTGTCGCCGTTATCGCTGTCGCCGTTATTGTCCTTGATTCAGTCGTTATTGCTGTGGGTTGAACAGTACGACGGCGGATATACGACCGCTCATTACCACGCTCCATTTTCATCGTAATGCCAGCATCAAGTGAAGAGGACGACGGTTGTTTCCTTCAATTTTCTAGCATGCCATCCGATATGATACCCATACCTTCACGCCTTGGATAGCTGAAAACGCCACGGTATCCTCAGATCTATGCGCATCAATCTCTATCTTCCCGGCAACTGGAACGTTTTCATTCGACCCCCGTGTGACTGCCTACCTGCTGCATGTTCGAGGAGTTTCCTTTTTGGGGCCTCGAGGGATATAACGTCGGTTTCCGCTGCGAACTCCACCTTACACTTGATGAAAAACCTGTTACCCCAGGATGTCGTCGGCGAGGTGGAGACGTTCAACTATCCCCGTTTTCTGCTAGAAGGCTTTCATTTCTTAGGCGTAGGGGAGACCAGCAGCGTCGGTGGCGGTGTGGGAGAAGGCGATAGCACCTTCAACGAAATCGCCGGAGATGCTGTGCGGACTTACACCAAGGACGCCAGGTAAAACACGGTACCTTTGCGCGCCCCATATGCGTGGTACAAGAGAGTTGGCACAGACCACTGAAGCGCGCCTCAGAAACACTTCTCCGAGCGCAGCTTGGCATGCGCGCGAAGCGCTGGATACCCAACAGCGATTCATGCTTGGCGCTACAACTATAATTTTGGCCGGGCCAGGAAGGCCTGAGGTCTGCCGTTATACCAAGGGTGTACGCCAAATCCCATAGTTCGCGACACATGCCGAGTAAACGCCCCAGTTCACCCCGAATAGAAAAGGTATCTCCTGTTCGGGCAGATGTCCCCCCAAGCGATTTTCTCGTCGAGGTTCCGAGTATTGTTTCGACAGGGTTTCAGTTGGCTTTTTATCATTTTGATCAGCCATTCCCCGTTTCTCCGCATACGGCGATATCATAATAGCCAGTCTGAAAGGCTTCCGATTGTCCCACGCGTACATGTCTCTCTGGATAACACAATTTTTTTTCGCATCATTGACAGCTGTTCACCACCTATAGCAGTCTCGCGTGTGCGACATTTGCCTTCCCGTGGTTGCTTCAGTACCTGGTCGGGGAACGGCAGCGTGACCACGACAGGAACCGGGGGCTGGGCACAGGATGGCATTGTGTCCTCAAACGGAGGGAGTACGGACCAATCGGGTGAGTGTTGCTGTTGTTGTTGCTGGGTGCCGTTGGATTGTGCGATCTAATTGTTTTGCGCGTTCTCTCGGTTTTGCCGACCAACTTAGAACGAGCTGATATCACCCACGTCGAGCCTATTACTCCACACCATTCCACCTTCTTCCTGCTTAAATTCAAGCTCTCACCACCTGCATGCACGTCCCAGTGCCCTGGTTCAGGCTGAATTCAGTATCCTTCAGCCATTTTCATTATGTTCAGAAGCATTCAGTTGAGTACAGCCTGACCCCGCTCACTACAGCCCGGTATCACCATCTCACAACCTGAATTAGCATGCTTGTGCCATGTTTCAGCCTTCGTTCACCCTCGTCCAGGCTGAATTACCCACACAATAGGTACTAGTACCGTGAGCGCTGACTTGAAGTGCAGACAAAAAATAAAGTGAATGCACTCACGTGAAGCCTGGCGTATGGCCGGATATTACGTATCTCGAACCCTCAGTTCATGCCCTTGAATCCTCTTATCCGTTGGAAGGTAACCCCTCATTTCCAAAATCAGTCCGCTTTCACCGTGGTATTTACCAGCAACCGCCGGAGATCACCTGTTTTCGACCCCCTGTTTGTCCGGGACAAGTCTTTTTCGGGTTGAACACGTCCTCTTTCACCCTGGTTTCATTTCTTTCACACTCTTCCGGCAATTTCAACCTGGAAGAGTGCTTTATACAGCAGTGCCTCGAAACTGCGACATTTCTCATCGCGCAAACTTCTATCTGAAAGATGGACAAAAGATCAAATGTCGTGCGAAAAACACGAATACCAGTATTACCGTCGGAGTTGCGTGAGCACATGGTGCTCTTGATTTTCATTTTCGACTGTTCGAAGTTGTGGCAGGCTCCGTCATCGAACCGTGCCCACGAGATCAACTAAAGTACTTCGGACTTCGGGAGTGTCTCGGAGTGCCATGAACACCCGTTTCCATTACGAAGGCCCTTGTCGCTGCCGCAGCCATGCCTCAGGCCTTGATGTCGGTACTATCGTCCCCGTGCTTGCCGATCGAACGAAATACCGAAAGATCCAGGGAGTGGTCTTCTCCGTTCCCGCAGCATCGTTGGCGTCGTTTCATCGATCGAACGGTCTGTGTCGTCTGCGGCTGCGCCACCCGAGGTGCCGCTACCCACGCCTCTGAAGACCTCAGTGGAGGCGTTGACCACAGCAACCGACACAACGAGCGGTGGAAGCGCTGCGGGGAAGTCCTCCAGGCAGGCGGCTACCGCGAGGATGATGGGGAAAGTGAGTAGGACTGGGTGGAATGAGCTACAGTCTGCATGGAGGTCATCGTAGTCGTTTCCTAGCTTGGTGCTGCGGTTACCGTCCAGACGCTTTCTGAAAAACTCCGAGCGCCCTTGTTTTGAGCGACTGGAGAGCTGTTGCTCACAATGGCGTGCCATAACTCGCCGGAAGCATCCATTGCTTCCATCTGTTCTGAGTGCGATTAGCCCTTTCGGGGTATCCTGAGATCCACTTCATTCTAACTAAGGAACATGTGCCATTTTTCAACAGGAATGCGCCCTTTCTCTCCAATATCGATAATGGCTTTTCAGACGAAGGTGCTGACGACCATGAGAGGGGGTCACGTCAAGATCACCTCTCCCAGTCTCCGTCCGCGTCTGTACCTCTACCCTGGGGACAAAGGCTACGTTGGCGGCGGGGGCTCCGCTATGAACGCCAACACCGACTCTCACGACAGGGGAGAGCGCAGCAGCACCGGGTGCAGCAACGGCGGGGTCGGTGGCAGCGGTGGCATCAATGGTGCCGGAGGCGACAGAGACCGTCGGAACCAAAGCGGAACGGAACTTGATCGGCGAGTGGAAAGCGAGAGACAGGTACATGGTGGCGTATTACAGTAGCCTGGTTGGTTCACGGTGACCAAGGACGTCGCGCCGCGTTGTGTCAGGGACTTGGGATGTGCGTAGAAACTGCATTTGGTCTAAACCCTCTCCCTCTCTCCCTCTCTCCCTCTCTCCCTCTATCCCCCCCCTCTACATTACTATTCATGGACTTGCCAGTTGTTTTCGTACACTGTAGAGAGAACAGTAGGGAATATCAGTAGCGAATATCCATGTCAGCTTCGATGTTTTGAATGAATGTTGACCAAGGTGTTGGGTGTGTGTTTCGACCACGGCAAGGTTTCGAATGAGCTGGCGCCATTCGTGAAGAGGAGACCGCCTGTCCTCGGGGACCCGGCCACGTCGTCGGGGCTGCGCAAGGAAAGGCTGGCCACGACGATGCGACTGGTCGAGAATACCTTCGCCTTCACAAAGGGGCAGAAGGCGAACACGGCGAGTGCAACAATCATACTTTTCTATATTAAATCCCAGAGTCCTATTTAGTTCCAAGTCCCGTACGCCGGTGGAGCTCCTGCCCCCTCGTGGCCCCCGCTCCCTGACCAAACCCGACCGTAGCTTAACTTTTTCCCTTCGCAATGAGTGTCGAGAGTGACCCCCCCCACCCCTGCGTCTCCTCGGCCTCCATTGCCAGTGATGAGCCCTCCCTCCAAGCCATCCAGTCAGTAGCTTTTCCCCTTTCATGAGCCACTCTCATCCTAGCCGTACGCCTCCAACTACCCCTCGCAGGCTTGGCAGTCGAAAGGCCGCAGAGTTGCGGCCGATACGTCATCATTGTTTCGGCCGTCGATTCCGACCCCAGGGTCATTCACTACCCCCGCCGGCCACGGCCCCAGCACCACCGCTCCCTCCGCCGCAGGAAGCGGGGCGGGATCAGGCCGACGGGCACGAAGGAACGCGAGAATCGACCTCGGCTTCCCTCCAGGCGTCGGTGTCACCCCCCCCGGCGGTGTTATTCGGCGAAACCGAACCAGACCGCCAAAGACGACGGGAACAGCAGCGGGACCCGCCGCTGAGGGAAGCTGGAAAGCCGCTACCGTTCGGGCGCCCCGCCCGGACGAAGGAAACCCTATGTGTCAGAAGAAGATTTTCAACGCCACGGGCACGCAGGTGGGAAAGCGGGGGG